TTTCATTATTCAAAGAAAACACCCTGTATAATATTTTCCAAAAAATAAATTAATTAACTTATTGCTTACTTATTATTAAAGAGATGAATTTTTATTATTATTTTTAACTTTTAGCGAATGTCTACATTTAGAGAAATTTTAATAAATCCTCATTTTACTCAAAAAGTATTAACATTTTCTTAATTAATATATTTACAAAGTATACCTAAAGGAGTGTGTAGAATCCAAAAATGCAAAAAAATATAGGGTGTTCCATTGAAAATAAGAAAGTTGGTATCGTCCCAAGGAAAACCGAACACCCTGTATAAATGAAAATATAATATTTAAAAAATATTTTTTACTTCGTGAATATTTGTTTCTTACAAATTTTTTGTGACTCCAGTAGTTTCTGAGATAAGTATATGGGTCACCTTACGTGGATCACCTAAAAAAAATATTCGCATTTTACAAAATTAATAGCTTTGCGCGTATGGTAATTATTATAGTAATATATATTTATATATAAAAGCATTTTTATTTGTTGTTATTGAAATTTATTTATTTGAATAATGAAAATTTAACTAAGGAAAAATGCGAATATTTTTTTTTCTGTTAGGTTTAGGTATAGGACATATATATATAAAATGAAAGGTAATTACTTATTCTATCCAATTATGCAAAAATATATAGGGTGTTCCATTGAAGAAAAACAAGATTTTAAACTTTTAAAATCGCTATTTTCAACGGGACATAGAAAACACCCTGTATGATATTTTCCAAAAAATATAATAATTAACTTATAGCTTACTTATTATTAAAAAGATGGATACTACATAATATAAAAAATAATAACTTTTAGTTGATTATTTTTAACTTTTAGCGAGTGTCTACATTTAGAGAAATTTTAATAAATCTTAATTTTAATCAAAAAGTATTAACATTTTCTTAATTAATATATTTACAAAGTATACCTAAAAGAGTGGTTAGAATCCAAAAATGCAAAAAAATACAGGGTGTTCCATTGAAAATAAGAAAGTTGGTATCGTCCCAAGGAAAACCTAACACCCTGTATAAATGAAAATATAATATTTTAAAAATATTTTTTACTTCGTGAATATTTGTTTCTTACAAATTTTTTGTGACTCCAGTAGTTTCTGAGATAAGTATATGGGTCACCTTACGTGGACCACCCTGTACATACAGTATTGATGTCAAAAACCTTTAGTTAATGGCTTTTCCTTGATTTATGTTTCAATAATTCACTAAAGTGAATATATTGAATACATAAAAAACATATAGTGACATCTAATATTACTTTTATCATAAATGATAAATTATTCAACATACCAAATTAGTTTTTTATAAGTTAACTTACCAAGTACGTAAAGGTGATATACCGTCTAACCATATAAAAATCCATTATCTTTTAGTTAAATTTTACTGCCTCTTAAATTACAATTTTCAATAAAATTTTACATTACCGCAACGGCGCGCCGGATTAAAGGCATTAAATTAACTTTTTTAAGAACCATTACCTACTTCTTAAACTTTATCCACCGACAATAATTCTAATCCAATTATGTCCCACAAATCAAAAAGTTTTGTTTGCGTTTTTGCACCTTGCAAGAATATCAGAAGAATTGCTTACTTTCCTTTAATTGGTTTCATAACAGAACGGTGTGGTGTGTTGATTCCCAACAGAAATGTAGTTAATGCAATTTGCCGGAGCTAAATCAGGATGAACTTAAGTTATACGTTGGTTGGAGCCCTCGGGGAATTAAACGAACTCCGATACTGAGTATGGATAACGGATAAAAAAGTTTAATTAAATTATTTATAAAGAACACCACCAAATAAAAAATTGTCACAATAAAGAAATTAATTGTATCCATTTGTAATAGTGCAAAATAATTTACAATATAAAATAAATAAAGGTTAAAGAGTTGTATTAAATAAAAACTTTAATTTAATTTAAAAAATGTTAAATTTTAATAAAATGGAAATTTATTTTTAAAAATTTGGTTCATCTACTCCTACATTGGTGTTTTTCCGTGAATAATAACACTGTGATACAAAATTAAGGTTTGCGAAAGGGAATGGAATAAAACCAAAAGCAAATGAAAGTTAATACTTTCCACAAGAAAACCCTACCAGGGTTTTTTTATATCACGTCTCAGTTTTTTTTTGTACGCATTTAAAGATGGTAAATTTTTTGACACCCTATAGGAAAAACATAAATAAAACTATGTTAATTATTCAAAATAATTTTGTCAATTTGATCGAGGAATCCATTTGTGAGGTTAATTTTTACCAAAGACCCTCAGAAGAGGACGCTATCAAAAAATTGTTACTAATTTTTACTATTTTTGAAGGTAAGAAATCCATTTTTGTCATCCGTTTGTTGTAAACTATACCCTAGGTGATATTCGAAAGCAATTTTTAATATTTTGGATTTATTAGTATAGAAAACTTGTTTTTTAAGAAAAAATAGCATTTTTACTTCTTAACTAAACATTATTAAATTCGCTATTTTATTTTTATTTAAAAACTATCACTGCTGTAACCGGCAGTAACACGAGTTTAAGTACCAGGAGTTCCAGCTGTTCATCCAAAAATTGATAAAAATGCAAAATATAATTAATATAATCAAAAATACCATGTTTTAGTATAAAATTAAAAAAAATACCTGAATTATACCACAACATTGAAACACCAAATTTCATTGACTTCTTTTTCTTTTATGATCATTTAATTAAATTGTTATTACAAGTTCTGCAAACTTTTTAACATATTCAATTATATGTATACCGTAATATTGTAGGTACAATTTTTTACATTTTTATATTTTGGAACTAAGTTTTGTTTTATATTATATTGTCCTTTAAATAAAAAAAATAATTTAATTAAATATATTAATTAAGAAAAACGTTTTATGTTGCTGTCGCTGATTTACTATAGTAAATATATATATACGAGTAGTACATAATATTATGTATGTATAAGTAAACAAATCAATTTAACCTTTAAACAACCTCGTTTTTGCTACAAAAACTGCAATTTTTTGTAGTAATAATATTTTTTCAAAAGGGCGAATACGCCGAAATACTTTTTTTTGTTTTTATCAAAACAGGAAAATGGCATATTCGCCATTTTGTAAAAATACAATCGGTATACAAGTATTGTGTTTTGATTAAAGCATTAAAGAGAATATTTTTTTTATAAAAATGCCCAATTTTCTAGTAAAAATGTTCTTTACTTGGAATGGATTCCTCGACTATATTGCCAGAATAATTTAAAAAAAATTAAAATTGTTTTACTTATTTTTTTCCTATTATAGGGTGTCCAAAAATCTACCAACTTTAAATGCGTATAATAAAAAACTGAGACGTGATCTTAAAAAAACCTCATAGGGTTTTTTTGTAGAAGCTATTACCTTTCATTTGCTTTTGGTTTCATCCCATTCCCTTTTGCACTGTTGCACTGTGTTATAATTAACATTATAAATTCCCTGCCTAATAAAGGTAATAATGAACTCATTATTTAAATTGGGAGAAGGCGACTATAATAACATTTACAATTGGTAAAAAGTGAGGTAAAGTATGTTCGTGTATCAACATCTATTCCTACAGTAAATAAATGGTGTGCTCATATTACAAATCCGAATAATTTACCATAAATTATTCCAAGGGTTCAGAAGGCTTCTTTTTTTCTACTTTCTTGTATAATAGAAGATTATTCCAAATCCCGGTAAGATTAAAATATGGGTGTCCAAAGAATCAAAATAGATGTTAGTATAAAATAGGATCTCCTCCTCCTGATGGGTCAAAGAAAGTTGTATTAAGATTTCGGTCTGTTAGAAGTATAGTAATAGCTCCTGCTAGAACTGGAAGTGATAGTAAAAGAAAAATAGCTGTAAGTATTACTGCTCAAACAAATAAAGATATTAGGTCAAATGTTATCCCTGTTGGTCGTATATTAATTACAGTAGTAATAAAATTTATTGCCCCTAAGATAGATGAAATATATACCAGCTAAATGAAGGATAAAAATGATAGATGTCAGATTTTATTTATTTATTTTTGAAAACTACTTATTGGAGTAGATAAAGTATAGTATTACACTCGGGATTATGAGCATGATTCATTCGAATGATTTAAGTCCAGCGACTCGAGACCCAAACATTATCCTTTGGAATAATAGCCTGAATTATCTTTCGTATAATAATATACTATCAAAACACATTTTTAATTTTCTTTAATACTATTTTGTACTGAGATAAAGCTTGATATTAATATTAAAGGTTATTTTTAATTAAATTATAAAAACATTTTGTTTACGAAAACTAAGTACCGTAAATATAAATTTTGACACGCGTCACATTGATCGGAAATCACCGAAAAACTGGTCAAAAGTAGAGATAGGGAGGCACGGATTTAAAACTAGGCAAACACGGGTTTTTTGGGTCGCTGATTACAAATCTGAGGTTAGAATTGAAAAATTTAAAATGGCGGCTACAATATGGTACAAAAAATTATTGGAAACTAACTTGATTAGAACTATAATTATTATAATCAGTGTATTCTATAGAAGAATGTTTTAAGTCACTAATTACGAATTCAAAGTTAGAATTTAGATCTTATTTGACGGAGAGTTTTCCTAAAAACTAACTTGATTTGAATAAAAATCAGTATAAAGAGGTGTTTTGTGTCGCTGATTTCGAATTTAAGGTTGGAATAATAAAATGTAAAATGTAAAAATTGACCTTAAATTCGTTATTAGCAAACCCAGAAAGCCCTATATACTTATTATTAATTTGAATAAAAGGTATTTTTACAATATTACAAAATTATGGTCATATTTAAAAGCAGTGCACCATTTAGAAAAGTTAATGTTTACCCAGCAGGAAAATGTCTCTTGACCAGTGTTATCTTTGAAAAATATACTACTACCCCCCAAATCCACTAATATCAATTTGCAAACAATAACATCTAAATCCATCTAAGGCCCTCTGCCACACATACCTTCGTATAGCCAGTCCGGAACTCCGTGGCTCACGACTCCGGGCACCGCCGTATAAGTTATCCTGTAGCCGGTGTGGGAATTGGGGGTTTTCCTATAGTAAATATCATAATCTTGGACCATGATCAGCCCATGGCCTCTGGGCGCCCATTGCGCCAATAGCAGGTACGGATGATCGTCGCTTTCCGGTAATGGACGTAGCGGGAAATCGTTCCTGAAATTTATGGGCTCGATAGAATTATGCTGGTGCTTGCAATTCACAGTGGGTTAAAATATCAGTTTTTATTAACCCCAACTAGTTTGAAATTTTACGTCTAAACATGTTTTTATTAATTAAGTTAAGAAATGTGGTCATTAATTAAACAAAAATGTTTTAAAATATACTTAAGAATAAAAAAATGGTTATTTGGCTCACACGTATTTAAAATTTTATACGATCGAAAAAAATAAACTAAGTAAGCTATTGGTGCACTAGTTTAACATTAAAAAAAAGAAGACAATAAATAACAGCTATTTTTAGAAACTAACTGACTATATGGCGTTTTAGTCATGGGCTGAAGTTAACTTTATTATAAATTGCGAAAAAGTAAGGTTAAATTCGTCAATGTCAAATATTTATGCATTAAAATTGGCTTTAAATTCTTATTTCTGTTCGTCGTAGATAAAGTATCCTTTCCCTACACATTCGTTTTTACTAAACACTCGCTTGAAAGCTTCGCTCGTGACCAAAATGGCATTTATAAAACTTGATACATAATATACTGTTTTCTATTCCCACCTTTAAAACGCCCATTATCGTACATGTTCTCATGACTATACGTGATCTTTTAAATACACATTGACAAGTTATGGGTTTATGGCGTTTTAGTCACGGGCTTTATTTTTAAGTTAGTTGACAGTTGTCAAATGTCGTACCTACAATTGTTAAACTAAAGTGCCCTTCTTGTAAAATATTACTAAATGTAAAAATTATTTTATTATCTCAATACAAAAATACAAAAGTTTTAAATAGTTTTTACAATAAATATTTTTATACCTTATTCAAGTAATTTCCTCTAAATAGCTAATTTTATGAACATTGAAAAAGTTGGAATAATACGTGCTGCTTTTCTTATCCTTCTATTTTCGAGATCGTGGTTTTTCGTTGTTATGCATTTAATTTAAAATTGTTTTAGTTAGTGAAAGTGCAGAATGGATTTAGAAGAAGAATTTAAAGCAGAGGAGAAACAATATTTTGCGGATTGTGATGAAGATTACGAAGATCAAGGTGGAGGTGCAGGTGTTAGTGACATAGAAGATGAGGTACCAGATTCGTCTTTCAATATGCCTCTTCAGGATATTGACGAAAATAAAAGATCAAAAAAAGCAGTTCTTGATCTATTTACAATTTTTTTCGCTATTTTTATAATTCATGTTGAACTTTAAGGATAATTTCCAGAAAAAAGTTTCAAACTTAGGATTCTGCGGTTTGTTCCATTGAAAAATACGTTCAATTTTCTATAAATTTCGATAAAAAAAATGATTCTTCCGACCATAGGTACCTTTCTAGTATAGTCCAGGTCACATATGAACATTGCACTGACCTTTTAATGTCGCCGGCAGTAAACTAGTTTTAACTTATTTTGGTTGAAGACTTCACCGTGGAGTGCCAATAAAACATTTGCTTTACTTTCACTGTAAAAAACTGCTTCTATATCGGATTAAACGGTCCATTATCAAATGATACATTTCGATTTACACATAAAAATTATACATTTAAGATTCCCAAGTTGGTTACTCTATTATTTATATATGTCGCTCTATACTATAATATTTCATTTAAATCATTTTTTATATTATTAAGTATTTGTCGTAAAAAAAGCATAGTATGCAACGAGTTTTTAAAGTTTTCTAGACACTCATTTAATTAAGCACTCGCTCGCAAGCTGGCTTGTGCCTAAATTAAATTCGTGTCTAAAAAGGCGATAAACCTAGTGATATTTTTTCAGAATTTAAAGCCAATTTTATTTCACATTTTACCTGACATCTGACAACCGTCAAGCGGTTTTAACCTCACTTTTTATAAATCTGACTTTTTTTTCACACAGACTTGTCACGTTTCTTACTGAAACGTTACTTTTTATTCGAGTTTTGCCTGCAAATAAAAATATTCCTTTTCTTAGCAACGACGCGACGCCATACAAAACGTGACTTTTACATAGCGGTTGTAGGAAAAACTTATTGTACTATAAATTGAAGACATTTAAGCTGTTTTTTAAATTAAATTTTAAATATTGTTTAATTTATGATACACATATTTTTTATTAGGGCATTCTAAACAGCATTTTTGGACCCAACGTGTGGCTATTCAAAACATTGAATTCGTGTGGTCTAGTTTAACAATAGGGATTGTGAGGCGCTTTTATAAATTATTTTTGTTTGTTTGCTAGTCCTACATGTTTTGTTTGTAAAGTTATATAAATAGTTGGGTGTTTAGTCTTTAATGTCAATATTGGTTTAAATGTAAAAACTAAAAAAGAAACAGGTGTAATATAACAGTTTTTTATAACAATGTTAACATTTCAAATTCAGAATGTCAAATGGATTTTTAAATACTGTGGACTGTTTTTCAGTAGGAAAATTCAAAATATTCCTTTGACAAACCCAAATGAGAATAGTAATCTATCCGAAACAGAACATTGAATTATAATTCTGTATACAGACGATAATCAGACATAACGCTTTAATAATGTGATATGATTATCTTAATTACTTACCCTGTTTGTATATCATAAATGGTGTATTGAGCAAGATACGAATGCCTGAACAGCTTCTGAACGTTCTGCGCCAACAGCAAATATCTCTGGTCGGGCGATAATTGGAATCTTGCCGGGTTCAGCCGCAACTGTAATCAATTTGTTAAATAAATAATAACGCTAACAATGCATCGGCCAAAACTAATATTTCCCCACAAAGCCGTAGAACTATGGTTTATTTATGGAACAGAGAGAAAAGATTTTTAGTTAAGGTATTTAGAAACACAAGTCCATTGTAGTAATTATTAATATTAATATAACAATGAGTTGATGAGTTTTTGGTATAGGTACAAATATAAAAACATATATATATATATGTTTTTGTAGTAATATTAAAACAAAATGCAAGTGTAGGTATTAAAATTTACAAACATTGAAATTAAGGTATTGTTTGTAAATTTTACAAACATTGATGGGAAATTTTAAAACTAAACTAAAGCTAAAATTTTGGTATCTGGTGTTTTTTATGCATTACCTAAATAGTTTTGTAGAAAATTTAAAATATTGGTGTTTTTGCTATAACTATAATAATAATAATAATATTTATTTCATGTCATAATATTACAGATATTTTACACAAGTCAAAAAAGAATTTAAAAGAATATAATGAGATAAAATATAAATAAAAGTTTTTAGGTTAAATAGGTAACATATTAAACAATATTATAATAGTTTATTATGTATCAAGTTTAATAAACGCCATTTTATACACGAATTTAATTTAGGCACGAGCGAGCTTGCGAGCGAGTTCTTAAATTAATGAGTGTATAGAAAAGTTTATAAACGAGGTGCATTTTTCTACGAGAAATACTTATTATTATCTTAAAATGATTTAAATCAAAAATTTGTATAGAGCGCAATCTATGAAACAACAGGGGAAACTGTCAAATGTCACATTTTTACATTTTATAAACACAATTATAAAGGTTATAAATCGAAATGTTTATTAAAAATTGACAGTTTTTCACAGTGAAAGTAAAGGAAATGTTTTATGAGGACTTTACAGTAGAGTCCGTGGCCGAATTTAAGTTATAGTTTACTGCCGGCGAAATTAAAAGGTCAGTACAATGTTCATATAAACTTTTCAAATATTGGCGTTGAGAAACTATTTAATATTTTTGTATTTTTGTATTGAGATAATAAAATAATTTTCACATTTACTATTATTTTACAAGAAAGGCACTTTATTTTAACGATTGTATGACATTTGACTGTCAAATAACTTAAAACTAACTTCAGCCCGTGACTAAAAACCTGTTGCTAACTTCAGCCCGTGACTAAAGCGCCGTAAAGCCACAACTTGTCAATGTGTATTTAAAAGGTCACTTAGTGTCATGGAAACATGTACGATAAAGAGCGTTTTAAAGGTGGGAGTAGAAAAAATACTTAAAATTAAAAAAAAACAGTTTACAATACTAAAAATCTATAAAGTTACTTCGGAAAAGGTCCTCAGTATTATAAAATGCATTAACACAAAGATACCTCTTAACATATATTTTAAATGATTTAAAATCCAGTGCTCTTACGTAAAGAGGTAAAGCATTGAAAAATTTTATACAATAATAATTAGTGGAATTTTGTGATCTTTTGAATCTTACATTTTTTAGATAAAGATTAGAATTATGTGTTGTTTCATAATTATGTTCGAGTGGATAATAGTTATTGATATTTTTCTTTATATAGATTAAACATTCGAGTATATACAAACTGGGAAAAGTTAACAAGTTTAATTGTATATAGGATCCTTTACAGTCATCACGATATCATAAACCTGCTATAATCCTTATGGCTCGCCTTTGTAAACTAAAAATTCTTGCCTTAATGGTCGAGTGGCCCATGAAAGGATACCATACCTGAATATTGATTCTATTAAAAAAAATTAGGCTATTTTAAGATAACTTATTGATAGTTTATTCGATAAACTACGCAGCAAATATACAGGGTGCGTCATAATATATGCGCAGGACTTCAGGATGTGATAACTCATCCAAAAAGATGAAAAAAGTCGCTATTAACTTACGCTCTAAAATGCACAATTTTCGAGATACAGGGTGTTGAAATTTTAGAAAAAAATTCGTTTTTTTCGAATATCTCCGGAACCGTTTATCGTACAAAAAACAGCTTTTGTAAGCATTTTCTACTCATAATAAGCTATGTTTTGTGCTCATAATTGGTGGAGATTTGGATGAGCTATCACATCCTAAAGTCCTGCGCATATATTATGAAACACCCTGTATATTAGAGTTGAGTTTAGTAGTAATCGCCTCTCCTTGACTAAACCAAAGAAGACGCGAGTCCAAATAAACTCCCAGAAACTTTGTACTGGAGGCTTCAGAGTTAAAGTATCTTAACAAAAAAATAACATTTACCGTCTTTCCCTTATTTAAACTTAATCGATTCGAGTTAAACCATTTTAAAGCCTCAGATTGCGTGCTCAGACTCTTTGACATTGCTAGTTCAAGGGATTTGTCAGGAACTGCGAATGATGTGTCATCAGCATATAAAGTTATGTTATAAATATAAGGAAGAGTAAGGGTCCCAACATTGAACCCTGCGAAACACCGTGATGCAGGAGAAAATTAGAAGAAAACTTATTTTTAAGAAGAACACATTGAGTTCTGTTTGTCAAATAAGAATTGATAAGTTTTACACTTAAGGGGGAAAAATAATAGAAGTAAAGTTTTCGCACTAACAAATCATAGGACACGCAATCGAAGGTCCAAAAATGTACCAACCATAAACTCTCCAAGTACAAATTATTTACTTTATCGGCAAAGGATATTATTGTATCCGACGTAGATAGTCCTTTGCGAAAGCCAAACTGTTTTCCAGTTAAAAGATTATTCTCTACAAAATAGTTTGAAATCTGCTTAAAAATGATTTTTTCGTAAATTTTTGAAATAATAGGTAATAAGGATATTGGACGATAATTGCCCAGTTCGTTTTTATTTCCTTTCTTAAAGACCGGTATAAGTATAGCTTTTTAAAAGATATTGGAAATATACCCGAATTGATAGAAGTAATAATGAACTTTGTTATATTTATTATTTCCGGTACTGAATCAAATTATATATGTATATCATTACTTTTACTTAATTTAAGTTCTTTAAAGATGTCACGAACCTCGTTGTAGGTGACTTTTTTAATAGTAAAATAATAGTTTAAATTTATGTTTAAATTTAACATAAAATTAATTGGATCAATTTTTGAAGGGGGTAGGGAATTCAGTGTTATTTGGGGTATCCTACAGAAAAAATTATTAAATTCGTCGGGCTTTATATTTGATGTATTGTCTGTAGGACTATTTGTGTTATTATTGTTAACTAACTTCCACATGGCTTTTGCTTTTTTTTTGTTATTTTTCAATTTAAATTATTAGAGTAGGAGACGAGTTTGTTCAGTAGGGTACATTTTATAAGAGTCATCTATAAAGCATAAAGTTTCACGCATTTTTTTTAATTCTGGGGTAAACCAGGAGATTTTGTTTATTTTACACTATTGACCCCATTAACCAATAACTTTAACATTTGTTCAATCTTTTCCACAAAAATGTCAAAATTTCCAACTGGGCTTCTGTACACTGTTACTGCTAACTTAAGTCTAGGAAATAAAGTAGCGGCTAGTTCACAATCCTTTTCAGAGGATAAGTTGGTTATATTAGTAATATTTTGATTAACCCAAGACGGATTAACTAATTGCATTACGCCACCATGTATATGGGTACTGCGAGAAAAATACGAGGAGGTAATAAAATCGCCTATTTAAATTTATTTTGATTCATCTTCATATAGCCAGTGTTCCGCAAGACAAATAATATCTGGTTTTAATTCATTCATTAATGCATCAAATATATTTTGTTTATTTCTAATGCTTTGGATGTTTATAAAAAATAATTTTAAAGCCCTGGATGTTATCATTCACAATCATACAATTAACATTAATCTTTGGTGCTGGGTTTACGAAAAAATCTTTTACAATTACCCCTTGAGGCCCCTTAGTCGAGTCAAAAAGTAAATTTTTGTATTTACCTATGTTCAATACTCACTTTAAAAGAGCTATTTTTTCCTTTATGGTGTTTATTTGAAAAGACTGTTCTGGCCATGTTTCCTTTAAGTAATTGGATAATACATAATTTGTCACTTTACCTTTTATATGTCCAATATAAACATATGCATATTTTTCTATGCCTTGAATTGCACCATGGTTTTTATTGGACCCTTTAATTAGGTTGAATTTTCTCTTAGGTTTATTTTTCTTCTTTACTTCTATGAAACCATCATTGATGTCAGTCATTTGAGTGTTATCCGGTATCACTGGTGATTTTGTAGGTTTTAGTTGTGAGGTCGAGGATTTTTCTTTAGATAAACCTGGAATTTTTATATTGTTTTGATCCACATACTTCCATACATATACTGCTTATTGCCTATGTTTTGTTGTTTTTGTGTTTCATTTTGCTATATGCGCATAGTAAGTTCATAAGTGGGGGATTTAAAATATATGATACCATAGACATCACATAACCTAAGATAGAGAAATTAGTACGTCCACTTATGATATGAATTGTCAACTAAATAGAATTTAGGGTATATAAAATTTTTCTAAATCATTTGGTTACATAGCCTGGGTTAAGCTCACAAACATTTCTGTGATTTGGCTTTATAAAAAGCAAAAAGTGGCATAATATGCATATTATGTAAAATCCACTAAAAATCTCGTAAAACCAATGGAAAAAAACAATGCCAAAACAATTGGTATACTACAGAAAACAAACAAAATGGATAATTATAAAAACCATCTACATATTTATATGTCTATCATAAAAATCTTTTGGCTATGATTCGATAATCGTGATCAAAATAAGATGTTGCCAAATTCTTGCTTTTATAAAAATGCCATTATAAAATCTAAAATATCATTTTGTGAGTTTATTATTGTTAAATGCTTTTTTCCTACAATTTAAATCCAATTTATTAAAAAGTATTTATTATACTTCTTAAATAGGGACAAAAATATGTTATTTTTTTAAACCGGCGATGCAGCTGACGCATGCGCCTCAATGCCTGCTACCCTGTGAGAACATTTCCCATACTTTAACCCCACGCAATGGAAACAGTCTCATTTAGAAATGATTTGTATATGTGGAAGTATGTGTTTTGAGCCACTTTAGCTGCCCTCTCTTGGCCGGTAGATGATTCATTTGTTTTATTTATTTCTTCTACATTAACAATTGTCGAAGCGATTACGTTTTTTGCTTTCAACTGTTTTTTAAGCATATTTACTTTGACTTCCAACAATGTTTTATTTTCTATTAGAAGTGCATTCTTTTCTTCTAGTTCTTTAATTATTCTTTTTAAATGTGTGTTTTCGCAGCGTAAAATTTCGCTGCAGTTTTTGTTAAGTGTTAGTGCCAGAGGTGGTCCAGGAGCGGGAGAGCAAAATAATCAGGACCACTTACTTGGAGCATCGTTTGAGATTTGTACACAATCTTTGAGATTTGTACACAATCTTTGGTTGTCAGGTTAGTACTTTCACCCGTGTGTTCTATATTATTTTGAAAATTTCAATTTAGAATCTTCCCGCATTTATAAAGGTGGTCCTACATTAATACATTACATATATTTTTTTTAATTTTGAGGGTTGTTTCTCTGTTGGATAACACTTCAATTATATCGGGGTTTTTGTTATAAATTGTTTAAACCGCTTAATATGGACCACCCGATATTTAAAATGATTATATTTAATATACAATATATGATATGTATAATATACAGGGTGTCCCAGAAGTCTACAGACCACTAGGAATCCTAAAAATTGTTAAAAAATGTACCTTTATTATTTTAAAAGATATGAGAGGAAAAAAACGTTTTAACTTAAAAATAATAGGTTTATCTTGATGATATTGTTTAAAGTCCAATTGTACAGGGTAGCCCATCGAAACAGTCCAACAAGGTTTACGGGTTTGTATGTAAAAAAAAAATTTGAATCTTTGAACTTTTGTATGGTATGTGGTACATCTTTTAAAAGGCCAATGGAATTCCGACGCGTATTTACAAATTTCGTAAAGCAAAAAATTCATTAAAAGAATTGTTTTTAAACTAAAAAATGTCAGTCGACAAATCGACTTCTCCAGTGAAGTAGTAAATGTGGATAGTTCTTTATTTCTGTGCTTTTATTTTCTTTCGATTCTATAGAAAATGGTTATTCTATTGCGGCGAGATCTCGCGAGAGTCGAAATTAAGAGTAACGGCCACTTTGTTTAATGAGAGACATGCAAATAGACACGTATGTACATTAGACTGGGCCAAAAAAATCAACTATTTTTTTTTTTGAAAATTATATCGAAAATAGGGTTTGGGGTGAGAAACAAAATTATTGTGAAAGTTTGAGTCCATAATAATATATCATCGCAATTTAAATTTTTTTTTCCTTAGCAAGTTTTTATCTTAGAACTCCCAAACCATTGAGTTTAACAAAATTGACTTAAAAATATTTTTTTAAGAAAATTAAAAGCTCTACAAAAAAGATTAAAATGAAAATTTCCGTCAGATAAACCGTTTCCTTAAAATCATGCCTTAAAAACTTGTATAGTTTTACATTTTGATTTTACACTTTAGAATTTTGTAATTTATGTAAAAATCAGTACCCATAAAAAAACGATAAATATTTTTATGGGAAATCAAATGCTTCACAAAAAAAGCCTTTCAACATTTTTGGCTAAATTCACTCAATCAAAAGTTATTCAAGGTTAAAGTTAAAGTCAAAACGAAATTCTTGTTTTTTTCCTCTGTAGATTTATTTTTTTATGGATGATAATTTGATTTTTTTTCTTTATAAATGTATATTATATAACTAATTAACAATTTCCAATAAAAAAATAACATGATTGTAATTACAAGAAAATAGCTTCTTAAAGCGAAAAAATTCTGATGTGTTATTTTTTTTTAATTTTCAGTAATTTTATCAATAAAATAAAGATTATCATCGACTATTTCCCTCGTCTTAATTTCCACCAATCACAAACGCGCAATTTTGAATTACAAATGGTTTCTAGGTGAAAAAACTGTGTGACAGCACCTGTCAGCAGTTTATTCGAGTTTACCCGCGGCAAAACTTGACAGCTGCTGTCACCAAAAATTGCAATTTATATTTTAATTGTTAACTGTTACTCATGAAATAGTCTTGTCAAATACCATTCGGGCATCTAATTTTTCCTGTGAAAAAAATCGAAAAACCACAATGCTAAGTAATATTTTTTAACAAAATGCATTCGTGCAGGTGCAAAAATCCTCCTCTTCGACTCGGATTTTTATTGCCACCAGCACTCATGCTTTTTGTTAAAATATTAACAAGCAACGTGTTTTTTCGATTTTTTTCGGAAAAATTAGTTGCCCTTATGATATTACTTACGATAAAAGAATCCAAGTTTTTAACTGACCCAAAAAAAGCTACAGCGGAAAAAACAAGAATTTCGTTTCGACTTTTTTGTAGAGCATTTAATTTCTCATAAGAATATCTATCGGTTTTTTTCCGGCTACGGCTTTTTACATGAATTACAAAATTCCAAAGGTAAAAGATCAAATTGTAAAACTTTACCAATTTTAAGGCATGATTGTAAGAAAACGGTTTTTCTGACGGGAAATTCCAATTTTACCTTTTTTGTAGAGCATTCAATTTTCTTCAAAAAATATTCTTAAGTCAATTTTGTTAAACTCAATGGTTTGGGAGTTCTGAGACAAAAACTCGCTCAGGAAAAAAAAATCTAAAATTGCGATAAATTTTATATGGAGGTGAACGGCGAACATTTTTAACAGTTAATAAGAAAAAACTTAAAAAAATTACATTTTTTGGCAACCCGCAGCACACATTTTAAAAAACGAAGCGCCACTTTAAAGAAAATGTAATTTCCTTTCAAAAGATGTATCACATTTGAAGAAATAAGGGTGAATGCCGTCCCCGCTAAGGGGTTGAAGTTACAGTGATAAAATTAAGGTCTAAATATGTCCCCCTGAAAACAAAAGAACTTCTTATTTTCACATGCAAAGCCCTAAACCTTGCTGGACTGTTTTCGATGGGCCACCATGTATGTATAGATTAAGTCTAATGTACAGAATGTTTAAACAATGCTTTCATTAGGAATTAATGTTTCATCTTGTGCATTTTAGGATTTTTACTTTGACAATACGCATGCGTTTGGCAACATGTGCACCAATTGATTATCACAATTAATTGGTTAATGGATTGTTATCTATTGACATCACACCATAAACAATAATTGGCAGATAAAATTCAAAATTAGAATGTCAAATAATTTCTGTTAACTATAGTAAATATATTGATATGTATTTCTAGTTCCTGACCGGTAGAGGGAGTCCCTGTGGCGTAAAATATATAACCTCTGAGTAAAAGTAACGAATTGGAGACCTTTTAATATTGTTGTTATGTTAATAAATAGTTATTTACGATATAATTGGGATAAGAGCTTTATTAACGTACGCGAACGATCGCAGAAGTACTTTAATAAAGCGTTATCACACGTATATTGTACACATTTTTATCTACGCCTCTAAATAAAAAAATAAACGGTTATTATAATTTTTGTCTAAGACTTAATTTAGGGCTATTGTTCTCCGCCACTCCTACATGTCGATTAGCGACACATAATATTGTCGTAAACAATAAGTCAAAAATAATTTTCTAGTAATAAAAATGAGTGCACTAATCATGATTAGGAAAGTTTGCCATCTGATATTGAAGAACAAGCTTTAATAGTATATTATGTATCAAGTTTTATAAACGCCCTTTTAGTTACGAGCTTTATTAGGCACGAGCGAAGCTTGGTAGCGAGTGTTTAATAAAAACGAGTGTCTAAAGAAGTTTATAAAACGAGTTGCATACTATACTTTATCTACAACGAACACAAAGAAGAATTTAAAGCCAATTTTATTTGTTAAACATTTGACATCTATCAGCCCATGACTAAAATGTCCAAAAGCCACTGTTGCTAACTTCAGCCCGTGACTAAAACGCCATAAAGTCACAGATCTTCAATGTAAGAGTAGATAATAGTATATTATGTATCAAGTATTATAAACGCCATTTTAGTTACGAGTTTTATTAAGCACGAGCGAAGCTTGCAAGCGAGTGTTTAATAAAAACGAGTGTCTAGATAAGTTTATGAAACGAGTTGCATACTATACTTTTTCTACGACGACCACAAAGAAGAATTTAAATCCAATTTTATTTGTTAAAAATTTGACATCTGTCAAATGTCAACGGAATTAACCTCACTTTTCTCAAATTTATAATAAAGCTAACTTCAGCCTGTGACTAAAATGCCCAAAAGCCACTATTGCTAACTTCAGCCCGTGACTAAAACGCCATAAAGTCACAGCTAGTCAATGTAGGACCAGATAAAAGCTATTTTCGGTTTGTTGCCTCGTATTTTTCCGGCAACAAACCGAAAATAGCTTTTATCTGGTCCTACATTGACTAGCTATGAAAAATGGTGTACAGAAAAAGAGATTCGCAGTTTGGCAAATGAGAAGGTATTATTGTAAGCCTTCATCTTTTTGGGCGTATTATTCTATGATCCGTACAATAATTTCCATAAAACATAATGCTGTAATGCTATAAGTAAACACACACATTTGACTTTTGACTTTTTTATTTGATTGGTTGAAAAGCAGTGAGATAAGAAAAACGCCTGCGTTAATGAACTTCTTATCTCACTCAACATGAGTGGGATAAAAAGTTCTTATTTCACTGGCGTAGATAATAGTATGTTATGTATCAAGTTTGATAAACGCCATTTTATACACGAATTTAATTTAGTCACGAGCGAGCTTGCAAGCGAGTACTTAAGTTAATGAGTGTATAGAAAAGTTTATAAACGAGGTGCATACTATACTTTTTCTACGACAAATACTTAATAATATCTTAAAATGATTTAAATCAAAATTTTTTATAGAGCGCCATCTATGAATCAATAGAGCAAACTGTCAAATGTCACATTTTTACATTTTATAAACACAATTATAAAGGTTATAAATCGAAATGTATTGAAAATTGACAGTTTTTCACAGTGAAAGTAAAGGAAATGTTTTATGAGGACTTTACAGTAGAGTCCATGCCCGAATTTAAGTTATAGTTTACTGCCGGCGAAATTAAAAGGTCAGTACAATGTTCATATAAACTTTTCAAATATTGGCGTTGAGAAGCTATTTAATACTTTTTTATTTTTGAATTGAGATAATAAAATAATTTTCACATTTAGTATTATTTTACAAGAAAAGCAATTTATTTTAACGATTGTATGACATTTGACAACTGTCAACTAACTTAAAACTAACTTCAGCTCGTAAATAAAAACCTGTTGCTAACTTCAGCCCGTGACTAAAGTGCCATAAAGCCACAACTTGTCAATGAGTATTTAAAAGGTCACTTAGTGTCATGGAAACATGTACGATAAAGGGCGTTTTAAAGGTGGGAGTAGAAAAAAATTGAAATACCACTTTTATAGTAGGCAATGTTGCGATTTAAAAAAATATGTATTCCCTGTATCTTTTTAATAAAGAAGGTAGATTTTTTAAGTTTTCTGAGATTCATTATATACCTTCCAGGTGGTGCGCGACTTCTGGGACACCCTGTATTATGTTTATTGTTAAAATGGACACATTCGCTATTTTATCAAGTTATACTCGTAAAAGGTTTGAACATTGGTGTAGTTATGAAATATCTTTCTTTAAAGAATTCAGCTAAAATGAAAATAATTTTTTCTATAAAAAAGGTTAAATATCCTGATGTAATTAATAGTATTTTTTCTTTGAACACGTAATAAGGAGCTGCAATGAAAGTTTGAAGCTCGCTATTAGTAATAAAGATTTTATGAAACTGTAACTTTTTTATTAGTCTACTCTCTAAAAATGAATTAGTGAAAAACTAATTTAATAGTTATTGGTGGCTGCTTTTTCACTTGTACCATGGTTAATAGGGTGGTCGTTAAAAATTAAATTTTTTTCGACGCCCCCTAAAAAGCTTTGCTTTGATGAAAAAACACTGGGAATTTTTTTTTATTTATTTTTTAATTAAAAACCACACGTTCCTCAAGACGATCTGAGTCCATTTTTTGGTGTAATCATGTCTTTTCTGAAAATATGGAATACATTTTTTTTTGAGATAATGAAATAACTTTACCTTGGAGTGAATAAATCTAGATATTAAAATTTCATTTGTACTTATTTAGTTTTAAAATAAAAATATCAGTTTGAATATCTTTCATTTTTTTGTTTAATACACCAAATCAACTAGAACAAATTTTGAATTTAAATTTTTGTCTATTGTTATTTCGATTAACTATTGTTTTTTATTGATTTGGGTTCTATAATTGTTTATATATCGAATAAAATTTTATTTTTCATAAAAAATTGTCATAAAAACATGATTATACCAAAAAATTAACTTAGATCGTCTTGAGGCACGTGTTGTTTTAATTAAAAAAAATAGTGTCCCAATGTTTTTTCATCAAAACGAAGCTTTTTGAGGGACGTCGCAAAAAATTTAATTTTTAATGACCACCCTAATGGTTAACCATGGAATACCATGGTATCCCAAAATTTAACAGCCAATTCTTATTTAAAATTGTCCCCTGAATCCGAAAATACCGTAAAAAATTATGAAAGTGGAGCAGTTTTTGAGATATAGTCAATTCCATATTAAATGGAAAATTGACTATATCTCAAAAACTGTTCTACTTTTTTAACTTTTGACAACTATTAAATTAGTCATTTTTGACTAATTCATTTTTAGAGAGTACTGATATTTTTTTGATGCATTTTACCTAAGGGGCGTTCATAATAGAAATGTAGGCAGTAACCCCATTAATTTTTATTTATACCCCATAATAATTATCTCTATCTCTATCTAAGAAATTTTAGGATTTTAAATTAGGTATACAGTTTATTTACCTATAGGCCTACCTATATAAAAACATTAAATAAATAATTTAGATTTCCATTATATAGGCTTTTCTGTATTATTACCTTAAATCGAAAATTAAAAGGTAGGCAAGCAAGATATTTTTTAACTTTTAGGGAGCTTATAATAAATTGAATAATACTCATAATTGTTTAATTCTGCTTAGGTCACTGGCAATGTCCGTGTTAAATAAAATAAAATAAGAAATGGTCAGATTGGATCCGGAAAAGTACACATTAAAAGAATACAACTCTATGGATTTCTACAGCGTCAGGATCGACAATATAAACATCCTCCCCAGCGTAAAAACATTATCGGATTACTTTCGACAATGTGGAGTCATAGAACGTGTATACGTGCACTCAAAAATCACAGACGGGTTCCTTAAACGGTTCGCTCATATCACCTTCAAAGATAAATACTCTGTAGTGCTCGCACTAAGGTTGAATAAAACACTTTTTAACGATCAAATTATTTCTGTCAAAAGAAAAAGAACCAAACGGTTTTTCTTTAAAAACCAGTTCTGTTTTAGTAATTTTGATTTATTAAAAAGAAAAGTGTATATGTGAACTAGAAGTAAATTTAGTTAATGTAATAATAAATATGTGTGTTGTTGTTGATTTTGTTTTTCTTATTTTTTACCCAATGGTTTTAATATGTTTACGACATGCAGTAGTACTAAAAATGCTAGTTAGTTAGTCTCATTTATTAATTATTATCATGTATTATATTTTTTGTGACGAGTGTAAATACTTATAGTATGTAAACATGAATAAAGCATTATTATTATTATTATTATTATTATTATTATTATTATTATTATTATTATTATTATTATTATTATTATTATTATTATTATTATTATTATTATAGGAGTATTACATATTTATATACAAGAAGGCACTATATATAAGTTAAAGATAAAGTAAAATGGTTACGTTTTAAATTTAACAATATAATATTTTTAAAAGTTTAAATGAAAAACGGCATGTTGTTGGACTGTTTTATGACCTTAGTCGAGCATCAAATTTTGATACTAAATCACAAATTATTATTAAATAAAGTTGAAAGTATGGGAGTTACAAATAAATGGATAGAATCATATCTATTGTATAGAACCCAAGTGGTATCTATTAATGGTGAAAAAATCAGATATATCCAAAGTAGCGCTGGGAGTACCTCAAGGATCGATATTGGGGCCACTTTTATTTTTGATATTTGTAAATGATTTAAATTTAAATACAAATATAATTGAGAAAATTATTCTTTATGCAGATGATACCAACCTTATTATTCCAAATAATAATATTTCAAACTTAGTCATTTTTGACTAATTCATTTTTAGAGAGTACTGATATTTTTTTGATGCATTTTACCTAAGGGGCGTTCATAATAGAAATGTAGGCAGTAACCCCATTAATTTTTATTTATACCCCATAATAATTATCTCTATCTCTATCTAAGAAATTTTAGGATTTTAAATTAGGTATACAGTTTATTTACCTATAGGCCTACCTATATAAAAACATTAAATAAATAATTTAGATTTCCATTATATAGGCTTTTCTGTATTATTACCTTAAATCGAAAATTAAAAGGTAGGCAAGCAAGATATTTTTTAACTTTTAGGGAGCTTATAATAAATTGAATAATACTCATAATTGTTTAATTCTGCTTAGGTCACTGGCAATGTCCGTGTTAAATAAAATAAAATAAGAAATGGTCAGATTGGATCCGGAAAAGTACACATTAAAAGAATACAACTCTATGGATTTCTACAGCGTCAGGATCGACAATATAAACATCCTCCCCAGCGTAAAAACATTATCGGATTACTTTCGACAATGTGGAGTCATAGAACGTGTATACGTGCACTCAAAAATCACAGACGGGTTCCTTAAACGGTTCGCCCATATCACCTTCAAAGATAAATACTCTGTAGTGCTCGCACTAAGGTTGAACAAAACACTTTTTAACGATCAAATTATTTCTGTCAAAAGAAAAAGAACCAAACGGTTTTTCTTTAAAAACCAGTTCTGTTTTAGTAATTTTGATTTATTAAAAAGAAAAGTGTATATGTGAACTAGAAGTAAATTTAGTTAATGTAATAATAAATATGTGTGTTGTTGTTGATTTTGTTTTTCTTATTTTTTAACCAATGGTTTTAATATGTTTACGATATGCAGTAGTACTAAAAATGCTAGTTAGTTAGTCTCATTTATTAATTATTATCATGTATTATATTTTTGTGACGAGTGTAAATACTTATAGTATGTAAACATGAATAAAGCATTATTATTATTATTATTATTATTATTATTATTATTATAGGAGTGTTACATATTTATATACAAGAAGGCACTATATATAAGTTAAAGATAAAGTAAAATGGTTACGTTTTAAATTTAACAATATAATATTTTTAAAAGTTTATATGAAAAACAGCATGTTGTTGGACTATTTTATGACCTTAGTCGAGCATTTGATACTATAAATCACAAATTAATATTAAATAAACTTGAAAGTATGGGAGTTACAAATAAATGGATAGAATCATATCTATTGTATAGAACCCAAGTGGTATCTATTAATGGTGAAAAAATCAGATATATCCAAAGTAGAGCTGGGAGGATCGATATTGGGGCCACTTTTATTTTTGATATTTGTAAATGATTTAAATTTAAATACAAATATAATTGAGAAAATTATTCTTTATGCAGATGATACCAACCTTATTATTCAAAATAATAATATTTCAAACTTATGCTCCGAAGCCTCTTTAAAATCTAACTTGTTCAATAAATGGTGTGAGGAAAATGGACTAACTATTAATAAAAACAAAACATTTTATATGAGATTTTTACCAAAAAATGTTTCTCCAGATTACGATTTATTTATTCCAATTTTGGGTAAGTCTATTGAATCTGTGGAAAGCATAAAGTTCTTGGGTTTTTCTTGGATCGAAAACTAACATGGGAAACACAAATAAATAATTTAAATAAAAAAGTAAGTTCTGCTTGTTATGTAATAAGGTCACTAAGAGGGTCGGTAACCTTTTCAGTACTCAGGCTTTTGTACTTTAGAGTAGTACAGGCCCATCTTGTCTATGGAATTATATTTTGGGGTAGCTCAAGTTATTTCAATAAAGTTTTTGTAACGCAAAAGAAGATCCTTAGGTGCATGGACAAGAAAAGTCCAATATATTCTTGTAAACCTCTGTTTAGGAAATACAAAATTTTAACTCTTTCCTGTTGGTACATATTAAGTTTAGTTTTATTCGTTTTTAAAAATAAAAAAGATATTTTAACACATGGTAACATACATAGTTACTCAACAAGAAGCCAAAATCAGTTAGTTTTGACATTTTCTAGGCTCTCTGTATGTCAAACGTCTTTTATTTATATGGGAATTAAATGTTATAATAAAGTTATGTCTATTATGTCTTGTTGTAAATGTTAAAATGCAGATTGCAGACTTTGTTTTTAGAAAAAGTATATTATTCTGTGGAAGAGTTTCTTAGTAATAATTTTTAATTAACTTATTTAATGTTTAGTAGTAGTAGTAGGTACCTAGTTTTAAACATAATTTCTTTATTTTGTAATTTTTTTTTTGATTGACTAGTCCAATATGTTTTATGGAATTAAATGCTTTAAAACTCTGTGATCAATAAATATTAATATTATTATTATTATTTTTATGTACAAAATTCAGCGTTTTTTTTAATTTATGCATTTATTAAAAAAAAGGTTTAAAAGCCGCATAACATGACGCACAATTCTAGTAATTTTTTGGTATTTTATAAATTATCAAAATAGTTATTTATGTACCAAGGGTATTTAGTAGATGTTTGTGCCCCGAGGGCAATTATCTTATCTCAAGCTAAGAAATTAATTATTACAGTACCTATATTATTTATATAAATTAAAAAAACAATTTTGCACTTTTTAAAATTTTCATTTTAATTTAAGAAACTTGAAAGGGACTAATTTTTCATAATACCATACTTGAGAATATGATAATAATATGAAAGTAATAATAAATATAAAACATTTTATGTTTAATACATTGGCACTGCTGAATTTTTTACAACCTTAAGTTAAACAATAAATATTTTTGTGTTTTTATGCCCGCGCAGGCTTAGTTGGTAACTAAGCAATAAAAACACAATATTGAACTAGTAAGACATAAAATAGTATTTTATGTCAAAAGGCTGAGAATCGAGTCTTTTTGTGCTGAGCTCAAAGTTTGATATAATTGAGCGCAGCACAAAAAGACACGTGTCAGCCGAATGGCATATAATATTTTATCTTCTGGCACAGTTTTATTTGTTAAGCTATACATAAAACGTACTTATACAATTAAAGCTATGGTGTGTTAGAACTGTAGGTGACGCAAAGTAGACAGTTAGTTGTGCGCCTCGGACTTGCGTTGAAATCTAGAAGACAAGAAGATGCGTAGCCGGTTTGTTAGAATATGCTTAGGTGGACTCGCGGTAGGCAGAAAATTATGTGCGTGTAAGTTTCGGTCGGAATCAAACTCCATTTGATTTCAACGCAGTCGTTCAGTTGAGCTAACAGTGACAGTATTTAAAGAAGCCGTTATTTTAACAAATTTTAAAATGACAACCAAGTTTTCATCAGAGGAAGACGAGAAATTGATTGATCTCGTACGAGAACATCCCATTGTACACTGTTAAAAGTTAAAGTTTTGGTCTTCACTTTTATTTTGGCGGCGACAACTAAATAAACTCAAAAGAAGATCTTCTTTATGTTCTTATTCCTCAATAAGCATTACCAGCAAAAAATGTTTAGTTATTGTTATGATATTAATAAATTTTACCAAAATATTAATAAATATTTGTTGTCTACTCCTACCGGCATATAAAGTATTTCAATTATAACAAAACACCCTCTCTTCAAAACCGAAAAAGTTGATCGCTACAGATTATGCTAACCGCGTTTGTTGTCTGCGGCGCATAGTTCTAAAAAACCATAGCTTTACTGTCTATAACGCACCTATTAGGTGCGTTCTTTTCGCCTGAAATCTCAGCTAACTTCAGTTGTGATATGAGATGTAGTGTTGTGACACACATCACTCACATCATGTGAGTAAGCATTAAAAATAACGACACACTCAATTGAAACGGGCATACGTGAATAATAGGCAACATAACCTATCTCTGATATAATTATGTTCTGTGTCATATCCTTATAGGTTTAAATTTCGTATTTTTCTATGTTTAAATTTGCGTTGAATTATGGATAATACCTTCTTGCACCCTCTGCGCATCTTCAGTAGACATATTAAGATTATATATTAAAGACGTTTCCCAATCTGTAATACTTATTCTTTTCATAATTAGGGGACAAACAAAAACAACAATTTTTTGATAAGAATATTAATTTTATGACATAAATTATAAATTAAAAAAAATGCACTTTGACATGTTTTGTTTAATTTTATTATATAAAGTGTTTTTCTTCTTCTGAAAAACAATTTTAATCATATATTATATCACGAGAACTATGAATTTAGTCGGTTAAACTAAAGTGTATTCAAATCCAAGCTGGACTAAACAAAAACGCCCAGACGCATGATAACTTGTTCTTATTGGTCGATTCTGATGGTGTGACTCGCATTGTGAGTTCTTATTGGTCGATTCGGAGGATTGTGTTTACATTTAGTCCAGCTTGGATTTGACTAGACTTTAGGCTCAGTAGTTTTTTGTTTGGTTTTTCTTGGAAAATGTTGAATGCAAACTAATTTAATAAAATCACGGGAATTATTTTGCATGAAACTATTTTCCAAAAAGAAAAATCAAATAAAAAACTTACTGAGCATAGTTTGACAGATTAAATTTATAGGTTGAGTGATATACGATATTTCTCGAATTAAAGTAAACTATTTGACAATTTATAAAATCTGACGTTTGTGTCAAAATTTATAAATATTTTTTTAAAGAAAATTCCATTCCAATTTAAGGTATGTAATAAAGTAATAATTGATATTTCGTAAACTAGATAACTTATTTTTTATTGTTTTTTAAAAAATGTTTGTTAAAACTTAAATAACACCATAAAATCGTAAACAAAAATCCAATATGGAGGCTAAAATTTAATCGCTGTTAAATAGTTCTAGTGATTTAATCGCTTATTTAAACGAAATTTATTCGAAAATTCAAGGCTTTTGATTGGTTCATATTATAATGAGGGAAATAATCGAATTTAATTTATTATATTAAGGTTGTAGTCAATTTACAAAATTTAAGTTTTATTGCAAAAAATAATTTTTTGTAAAAAATAATAATTTTATGATATAAAATAGGATTTAAAAAATCTTCACTTTTACTTTCTTTGTTCAATTATATTGTAAAAAATGTTTTTCTCGTTCTGTAATCTATGAATTCTATTTATTATATCAAGTTTTTAGCTAATTTACAAAATTTAAGTTTTATTGCAAAAAAATACCTAAATAATATTAGGTTATGTTATTTAAAAACTTAACAAATTAATAATTTCTTTATCCCCTCCACTTTATTTCCGACTTCAAACTGATTCCCCCGCACAGCATGTGTAGTATCGGTTAGGGGGAAGAAAAATCTCAGCGCACTTTATGGTGAGTGAAGCAAAAAGAACGCGTATATTTGCAAATTTTACCGATGTGAGCTGAGATTAACTGAGATCTCAGGTGAAAAGAAGGCACCTATTATCGATACTTTTAGAGGTTTAAAAATATGGACAGTTTGTCTACATTATTACACGTAAACATCTGTCAATAATGTCAATTTAAGTAATACTCGTATATAACTCTCATTGTCCTAACCAAGATATTAGTCTTAAAAATATTGACTAAAGCAAGATATTAAAATGACAAATTAAGCTGGATATGACTAAGTAAAATATTTTTTCTACTCCTATCACGGAATTTGACCGTTCTAATATCACTTTTATCTATGGAATGACATATATTCCGTAAAGTGTTACAGAATGAAATATTCTATCATCGGATGACAGAATAAACACTCGTGGCGACATCTCTGTTTTTAATATCTAACAAATTTTAGACCGATCCAACCTCACTTTCTTTCAATTAAATTGTTTTTATTTTCGTTTGGAATTGCATATGCCGCTCTCGTGAAACCGCCTCTGGCCTTTGGCTCGTGTGAAAAACTCTTCACTCGAGCGGAATATGCGGTATTCCAAATTTGTTACAGAATATACTATTCTATGATATTTTTTGGAAACGTAGAGAAAGTATAGTCTGAAATACG